TTTTTTTTTTAATAATACAATAAATATGGTATTTAAATGTATTATTATATTTTACATTTATTGTATTATATTATATTTTTAATATAATACATTTAATTTAATTATAAAAATAAAGCCTAATTTTTGGATCATTAAGAATTTTTTTGCATTATTTCTAATACAGTTTCCCTTATGACATTTTAATTTCTCATTGATTTCTTCGGCATTTTGGGTGACCTGGATGTGTTCTTTGCAGCTTTTGTGAGATTTACCCAAGCAGGTCTAATGAAAGAAACAAATAAAATTAAACCTTTCTTTCTCTCTTTTTTTCATTCAGCCCATGACACAGCGCAGACAGGAACATGAGAAGAAGCGCAGAGACATTAAAGAGCAGTGGCAGAGGGCCAAGAGAAAACTGGTAAAGATTCAGTCCACCCTGAACTAACTAAATAACTCAACTAAACCTTGCTAAATCAATTTAAACGTGTATTTGTGTTCATCAGGCCGATGCCGATAGTAACCTCCGTAAGGCACGTCACCTGTACATGAGCCGCTGTGAGGAGTACGAGAGAGCTCGGACAGTGGCCAATAAGGTTGAAGAGGAACAAAGCGGAACAGGAAGTGGCTCAACCACTAAAGCTCTGGACAAGAAGAGACGACTAGAAGAAGAAGCACGCAACAAGGTCAGCCAGCTCAAACAGGAAATGACCTAACATGAGCTAATTTCACACATTTTGTGTGAGGTGTTAATTCTGACTGTGCTTTTGTGGTCACGTGCAGAGAACCAACATTTTGATGAATAGATTAACATGACGCTCTTTATCATCTCCTACATTTTATTTTAATTTTTTTCCCTGCAATCTTTCAATATAGAAATTTCTTCTTATCTGTCTTTATTTGCATAAAGAAAATTGCATAAATTGCATTCTTTTTTTTCTTTTTTTTAGGATTATAGGATTTTGAGACAGCTAATTTCACACATTTTGTGTGAGGTGTTAATTCTGACTGTGCTTTTGTGGTCACGTGCAGAGAACCAACATTTTGATGAATAGATTAACATGACGCTCTTTATCATCTCCTACATTTTATTTTAATTTTTTTCCCTGCAATCTTTCAATATAGAAATTTCTTCTTATCTGTCTTTATTTGTATAAAGAAAATTGCATAAATTGCATTCTTTTTTTTTCTTTTTTTTAGGATTATAGGATTTTGAGATTATTTTCATGACAATTGAAGACATTTTTATTGTAATGCAATAATGTCGGTATGCATAACATTAGTGAGAGTTTGGGATATTTCTGTCATGAAAATAATGCCACAATGCAAAAAATCTAAATGGATTTAAAATAGGCTTCATTTTCTTAAAGGAAGATATCATGTCATTTATTTTATTTGATTTTGGGGTGTTTTTATAATATTTATGCAACAATTTTGAGTTACAAGTACTTATGGGCTGTGGCTTTGCCGTTTTTAACTGCTCCATCCTTCAATAATAGCATTATGCCTACAAAACAGTCAAGTCGACTAATTCATTTTCATGATATATGATGGTTTGTGTCAGGCAGAGGAGGCTGAGGCGACGTATCGCACCTGCATCGCAGACGCCACGACACAGCAGCAGGAGCTGGAGGACATGAAGGTGAACGTGCTCAAACAGATCCAAGAACTCATCAGACAGACGGACCAGATCCTGCGCGCGGTGAGAGTCATATATATATTTTATATTTACTATATATATATATATATATATCAATTGAATTATTGCTTTTTATTTAGTTTCTTTAATATAAATATATATATATATATATATATATACATACATAAATGAAAAATATTATTTTTAT